ATATAGTAGTATATAATACGATAGTAGTATATATGAAACTATAATATAAAGTAGTATCAAAAACATGTAAAAATTATGACCAGCACAGGTAAAATAATGTTATGAAAAACACAAGAAAAGAACATACAAAAATGATTATAAATAGCTAAGTTGGATGGCTGAAGAAAGGGTAGTTATAGTCTACTTTCCAAATGTTTGTTATAAAGTATCAACAGAATGTATTTAACTAAGCATCCTACCATTCAAAGGTGTAATATCTGAAATTAACATTGAATTGCACAGTTAAGAAATACTAAATAAAAACAGGTTTAGCTCCTACTAGTCCACAGTACTACAAATTTTAAAATCTGTCCACAAGCATAAATTGGTACAGTCACTTTGAGACATTATTGGGAGAATCAAGACTATACTCTGCATAGAGAATCTCTTGCACATATACAAAGGTATTCACTGCAGCACTATAACAGTGGAAACTGAAAATAGCCCATATGTTCATCAGTAAGAGAATGGACATAAAATATGTGGCAGTCATATGATAAAATCCTATTCATATTTAAAAAGAATTAATGAGCCTCTATCAAAACTAATTATAAAAATAATATTTATAGAAAAAGGAATGATGCAGAAAAAGACATCAGTTCATGTGAACTTAAAAACTCAAACACAGCACTATATGTTATTTAGGGATTGCACACACAAAAAAAGTTCCTAATATAGTTTCCTCAGAAGGTCAGAAAGTAGAGTTGTTTAAACATCAAATTACAAAGAGTTTGAAGCAAATATGATAAAATGTTAGCAGTTATTAATTTAAGAAGAGATGGAAGTATTTGTCATTTATTCTTCATAATTTCCGTATTCAAAATTTTTTCTCAAAACAAAAAACCAGAGAAGTGACAGACAAAATATTGTCATTTTTCTGTTGTAGAGATGTGAGTTATATCAACTTTTCCATTTTACTTACTTAAGTAAGTCAATTAGAAAGTGGTAACACTTAAAAAATTTTAGTTCAATAGTTCTAAAACAGGCTACTTTACAGTATGTTTATTCTCATTGCCTGTATTAATATATGTAGAACTGCATATTTTTCAAACTATTTTAGTATTTTTAACATATAAGAGAAACTGGAAACCAAATTAGATTTACTTCCAGTTTATGAAAGAACAAGGTATTTTTTCCAAAGCAAAATATTTCAAGGTAATTAAGAAATTAGGCCAATGGGATGTTTTAACATATTCATTTGAGATTAAGTAATTATAATTTAATTATTCACATTCAAACCAGCCAAATTAAAAGACTCTCCCACCCAATTAATTTCCCTGCTTACAGCTTTATTTTGAAAGGATCAATTTACAGTTTGTTATAGTCTCAGAACTTTTTCCCATAACGAGAAAAGGGAATCATTTCTGCAGCACACATTACAATCAAGTTGAGAAAACAGTTTAAAACCCTTTCTTTCTACTTCAAACTAACTTTATTGAAAAATAATTCATAAATAACTGTTCATTTTTCAGATAATCGGCTGTTACTGATTTTCATTCCAGAGATGCAAGCACTGACATTAGATACAGAGCAATACAGAAAGTGAGACACAAAAAGTGAAAGAGGAAGATGTCATACCAAAACCAACATCTTTTTGTTTCCCTGAGGATCAACTACAGAATTCAGAAGGTAAGCAGGGGCCGTCAGGAAATGCCCAAAATATAGAGGATCCAGGTTAACCAAAGGCAAGCTCTGAACCTGCTTCACATTTATTAATAGGCCAAATCACTGACAATGACTTAGCTTTAAAACATAACACCCAGTAATTCAAGAACAAAAAATGTTTAACTAACCATTTTCAATAGATATCTTCAGAAGTCTGTATTTTCCATTTCTTGCTCTGGCAAAGATATCTTTAACATCTTCAGTTGCTGTGCAAAAAGATACAGAAAAGTAATATTTATGCATTAATACTTTCTAATGCTACAATAATAAATGCTAGTTGAATAAGGAAAACATGAAATACAAAGAAAAAATATTGAGTATGCAATATTTTCTTATTAGCAGTCATTTAAATTATAAAATTTAAAAGGTATACCAGACACTCAACACAGCTTTTGTTGTTGCTGCTGTTGTTCGGTCGCTAAGTCACGCATGTCCAACTCTTCTGCGATCTCCTGTTCTGTAGCCCGCCAGGCACCTCTGTCCACGAAATTTTCCAGGCACCATACCAGAGTGGGTTGCCATTCCCTTCTCCAGGGGATCTTCCCTATCCAGGGATCAAACCTGCATCTCCTGCACTGGCAGATCGGTTCTTTACCACTGAGCCACCAGGGAAGCCCCATATACAGCTAAGAGATACAAGTATGTTTTAAAAGTATATTAATTCTAACCTGTTCCAGCTATGTTAGAATTGGAAATGAATATATTAAAGTTTCTCAAACCCAATAATGAACAAATTACAAATCTGAGAAATACCTTATTGAAAACTTGAAAAAGATATTGAAAAATGCAGAAAATCTGCTTTCATTCTCTTCTGGTCCAATTTCAAGTTTATGATAAATAAAAACACCTTCTTCATCAATTCATTTTCTACATTTTCATGTTTAAAGATGACAATAAACGTCAAATGCCCTATCCTGATTGGAGTCAATAAAATTCTTTGAAGTTTATACTTCTGGTCACACTTTTCTGACTCGTATTTCTCAAAAAAGCTGGAGTAATCTCACTGAGCAAATGTATACTTAATAACCTATCCCTTGTGCTATTAAAACTTCAATTTCGTTCTGACTTTGTTCTTGGGGTGTATATTGACAGTAAGAACCACGTTTAGTAGTGCTTGCTATTAGACTCAAGCATCAAAGTCAATAATTAGATAGATATCCATGCATCAGAACTAACGCAAATAAAAGACTGCTTTTAGATTTGAGCTATTTTGCTTTTCTTTGTGTGTGCAGGAGAAGGTATGGGGTGGTGTCACTTACTAACAAAACACAATTAGATGTTCATCTGGGGAAGATTCGTTGTCTATTAACAGGAAGACCTTGCGTTTATACTAGAACTCGTTAAGTGATCGCGAGTAACCCCGGGACATACTATTTGATTCTGATGAGGTGAGAGCTTTCAGACTGCCCATTTGCAAACCAGGAAATAACACAGGTCAATTAAAATTACACGTTCAACTGCTTGAATGGGATAATTACACGATGCCACACAGATCAGACTTTTCAGTTCCCTGAGGAGCACCTAACAACGACCAAGACGCCTCCTACTCAGGATACATACAACGGTGCGGATGTTCCCATTTTGGAAGAAAGCGCGGAAGAGTTTGGGAAGCATTCTTAGTAGAAATAAAAAAGATTCCCGCATCTTTCTTTTTATAATTCAAATACTGTAACAACTCTTCTGGACCGTGAAAAAGAAAATTCGCCTGTCACTCGACAATAAAAGGACCCCAGTGGGCTCCACGGCTCCAGGTCTTCCCAACCCGTAAAGTTGGGTTAAGGTCGGCTGCGGCTGCAGGCACGCCCCCTTCACCCCGGCAGCTGCCGGACCCACTTCCTTCGCTCGGCGAATTTCGGGTCCGTCCGCAACGTGGCGGCGGCCGGGCCCCGGCAGGGAGGGAGGCAGGCCGAGAGCGCCCGGGACACGGGAGCGCAAAGAGAGTCAGAGGCCCGGCTCGCCCCCGACATCTATTCCCAGTGTTTCGGGCCCGACTCCGGCCCCGCCCGGCTTGCTCGGGGCCTCCAGGGAGCCCCTTCCCCAAGGGCAGCGCCGGCGCCGTTACCTTGGATGCCGGTCTGGTGGGACATGGCGGCGGCCGCGAGCTCCCGGCTCCAGCGCTGAGTGCAGCGAGCGGCCCCGGCCGGCGGCTCCAGGAAGTGGCCGCTCCTCCGCCAGCCCCGGTGCGTCATCGGCCTGCGACCCACCACCGCCCCGCCCCGCCCCGCCAGGCCCTCGGCGTCCTCGCGCGCCCCCGGCGCTCCCGCCGCCTCCGGTCACCCGGACCGTCTCCCAGCTGCGGGACTGCAGATCCACGCCTTCGGCCCTCAACTCCCGCTACTCCAGCTTTCTGCCGGGGGTCACTGTCTCCGGGGTTTGCCGCCGCTTCTCCGGCTCCACCACCCTGAAGCACCACAGGACTGGCAAGATAGCTTTCCCTTGTGGGGTCTGCCCTGCCAGCGCCTTTCTCTGGCTCCTCAAAACGATGCTTAAAAACGGAAACGAACGTTTTACTGAACACATGTTTTCAGCTTTAAAAAGATGTGCAAGATATCCTTCTTGGTTTACGCTTTTGCTGTGTGTACAATTTAATGTAAAGGGTCCCACTCCTCCCCATTTTAAAAAAAGAATTAATAGGCAGTTTCCCATCAAAATTTGAAAGGCTTTTAAATTAATTTCAGACTTACCTTTTCTTTCTTTAGTTGGGCACATTTAGAGACAAGGTTTTCCTTTCTCTTCATTCCAAAAAAGAAACAGCCAGTGAGAGTAAAAAGATGAGCTGACTTGAGTACTCTGTGGTCAGTTCCATCATTCCAAACTAATACTGCTCTGCTTTCCTTTATTAAGGTGATTATTCAAGGTTTATTTGGGAGGATAAAGTTGTAGCATATTATTAAAAACTATTTTCCATTCTGTGTTTTTATGAGCATGTTTCCATTTCTAAGGATAATTTATTTATTTTTTAAATTCCTGGCTGAACTGGGTCTTTGTTGCTGCCCATGGGCTTTCTCTAGCTGTGGTGAGGGTGGGTGGGGGGGCTACGCGTAGCTTCGTTGGGGTGCACAGACTTCTCATTGTGTTGGCTTCTCTTGCTGTGAAGCACAGGCTCTAAGGCACATGGGCTTCAGTAGTTGCAGCATGCAGGCTCTAGGGTCCTCAGGCCCCAGGAGTTGTGACTCCTGGGCTCTAGATTGTGAGCTCAGTAGTTGTGATGTGCAAGCTATAGTTGCCCACAGCATGTGGAACCTTCTTGGACAGGGATCGAACCCCTTTCAGCAGCACTGGCAGACAGATTCTTATCCATGTACCCCCAGGGAAGTCCCTTTAAGGATCATCTTTGTAGTTTTGTACTACTTTTCTAGGACTCCTGGATTATAATTTTCTAGGTAGAAAGCTAGGTCTTTTATTTTTAGGGCCTTGAACTGACAAGTATAAAAATGTACAATCTGATTATCAACAAATACTTTGTACAGACCAATAATATAAGTACAAGTTAACAAAATCACTATTGAAATGTGACATATTTTTAATTAGCAGGTAGGTAATGGCTTTGCTTAATGGGGTTCACAGCAAAAAAAGATTGCTGTGTTCTGTTCCTTGTTTTTTAGGCTCTGTTTCTCAAACACATCTTCATATTTTGGAATAAGCAAAATTTAATCTGAGCTTTATAACTTGTTTGGATTTAAGAAATGTAAGGAGGAGTTCCATTCTAACCAAATTCTTCCTGACACGACAGTTCACCCTGATTTACCAGTTTTCATAGCATTGTTGAACACAGAGAGTGCCTCTGCAATTTTCTGACTCATGTTCTGGCGAGTAGGGAAAATTGCTTAAGGAGGTTGACATTAGTCAAATGTACAGATGAGAAAAATTAATTTTCCCATATTGATCCTTAGAAAAGATCCCTGTATGTTCAACCCTGAAGAGGAGGAAAGTCCAGGTAGGTTGGATAAGACTACCACAGCATCTGCCAGATAATGCTTTCTTTTCTGCCAGTACAGTAGTTTGAGTTAAAACTGCAAGGAACGTGTCTGCATTGTTTATTAAACAACAAAGTTCCTCTAGCAAAACGGGAAATCTGAGGAGGGAAGATGCTTGTTAAGATGCGAACAGCATGGCCAAAATGATTTTTTGTTTTTAACTGTCCATCAACGTTTCTACATGTAGTCAGATAATTTCCTTAGCAAATGGATTCTTGATGCCTTCATCGGATGTTGTTTTATGAAAATGTTTCTGGTCAATACTGACAGTACACTTAAATTTCATAGTTTATTATGTCTCATGTTCATTTCGGGTTAGGTTATTGTACTAACTTTAGAGAAACGGGTTATTGAGTATGTGGAGTGCTAGTGGTACTTGTATTTTACCTATTTAAGAGATTAGATTATGATAGAAATCTTGGTTGTTTGGTTAATCTCTCTTGCTTGCATCTTTAATGTGATACCAATTACATGACTTCTCACCTTATCTTTTTTAAAAATTTGTGATAAAATACACATAAAATTTACCATCTTAACGATTTTTAAATGTTCAATTCAGTCATGTTAAATACAGTCGCCTGTTATGCAACCAATCTCCAAAATTCTTTGCCTGTTACAAAATTAAAACTTTATATCAACATTAAATAACTTCCCATTCCAACTCAACGTCCAGGCTCTGGCTTACATCATTCTGTGTCTGTCTCTATGAATTTGACTGTTCTTAGTACCTCGTATAATTGGAATCATACAGTAGCTGTCTTTTTGTGATTGGCTTATTTCACTTACCAAACTGTCCTCAAGTTTCATCCATGAGTAGCTTGTAGAATTCCTTCCTTTTAAAGGTTAGATAATACTTTAGTGTGTGTATATACCATGTTTTGTTTATCCATTCATCCATTATGTCTTTCTTCTTGTTAGCAAAATCAATTGTATTATTCTCAGATATTTTTATCAGTTTCCTGTAGCTACTAATTAACAAATTAGCACAAAGTAGATGGCCTTACACAACAGAAATTTATCCTGGCACAGTTTTAAAGGCCAGAACTCCAAAATCATATCTGCCGTCCCTCTTGAGGCTCTAGGGGAGAATCTTTCCTTACTTTCTCCAGCTTCTGGTGGCTGGTGGCATTTTTGTGGCCCCATCACTCTAATCTCTGCCTCTGTGGTCACATTGATTTCCTCCTCGTCTAGGGTATCAAATCTTCCCCTGCTTTACTTTCATAAGGACACCTGCCATTGGATTTAAGACCCACTCAGATACTCTTGCCTGGAAAATCCCATGGACAGAGGAGCCTGGTGGGCTGCAGTCCATGGGGTCGCTAAGAGTTGGACACGACTGAGCAACTTCACTTTCACTTTTCACTTTCATGTGCTGGAGAAGGAAATGGCAACCCACTCCAGTGTTCTTGTCTGGAGAATCCCAGGGATGGGGGAGCCTGGTGGGCTGCCGTCTGTGGGGTCACACAGAGTCGGACACAACTGAAGTGACTTAGCAGCAGCAGCAGATAATCCAGGATGATTTCTTCATTCAATAAACTGAATTGCTGCATCTGCAAAGATCCCTTTTCCAAATAAAGTAATGTTCACAGGTTCCAAAATTAGGATGTGGACATATATTTTGGAGTGTTGTAATTCAGTCATCAGTCCACTATAGATCCCTGAGGCTTCAGATACCCTTGATGATTGCTTCTTCTTGATAGACTCCTTTTTCTCTTCTTTGACACTGCACTTAACTGGTCTTCTTCTTAACTTGGCTGGGCCACAGTATCCAGAGTATTATTGTCATACTTTAGTCTGTATGTTACTGTGAGGATGTTTTGGGAATGAGATTGACATTTAAGAAGGTAAACTTTGATAAAGCTGATAGTCTTTCATAATGTGATGGGCCTCATCCAATGAGTTGAAGACTTTGAAGATCTTATACAAATACTGAACTTATACAAATACTGAACTCTAGAGCAAGAAGAATTTCTGCCAATCTGACTGCCTTTGGACTTGTATGGAAACTTCCCCCTGAATCTCCAGTCTGTGGGATTACCTCATCAGAAATTTTTGTACTCGTCAAGTCTCCACCATTGCCTAAGCCATTGGCTTAAAATAAATATCTCCTTTCATGTATACATACATCCAGTTGATTCTGTTTCTCTGGAGAACCCTAATACCCTTTAACTCCTCTGTCTTCTTTACCTCCTTTGTCAATATTTGTGAAAAATGAATTAATTATATCTTCATCAAACTAGCCCTATCTTCAGTACTTCTCAATGTGATATCATCACTTAAAAGCAGGTCCTTCTAACCTGCCACACAGCTGCCTCCAGACCTAGGAGAACTTGCTTATAATAATCACATTGCAGATTTCACACACAAAATTAACATAGTTGTTATTTAGTCCCTAAGTCATGTCCGACTCTTGTGACCTCGTGGACTGGAGCCTCCCAGGCTCCTCTGTCCATGGAATTTCTCAGGCAAGCATACTGGAGTGGGTAGCCATTTCCTGCTCCAGGGGATCTTCCTGACCCAGGGACTGAACCCAGGTCTCCTTCTTTGTAGGCAGATTCTTTACCAACTGAACCATCAGGGAATCCCTCACTTATACGTCTTTCAACTTCTCACATCCAATTATCTTCCAGTTCTTACAGACTCAGCTGGTTTTGCTCCTGAAAGCAGAACCCATTTTTAGGTTCCCTTTTTGTTTGTTTGGATTCCTTTTTTTGTGTCTCGTCGCTCTACTCTTCTTACCTTCCCTTATTTTCTGTATTGACCCTATATGGACAAATCCACGCTCAGTTGTCAAGTTCATTTCCTGAAATGCTTTTCTGACTGGTCAATCTCCCACATGCTGATTTTCATTGCCTCTCACTGCTTACAGAACATGGTCCAAACTCCTCATCTTGGCACCTAAGGCTCTCTGCAGTGTCTTTCCTAACAGTGTCCTATGGCCCACATTACATGTTGTCTTCTGCTGTTTTACTAATCTGGAAGACAACCCCTCACTCTCTAGCTATACGCCCAGTTTCCACTGTCTCTACGTTTTAAAAGTTAACCCACCCTTTGGAGTCCTATCAACCTCCATGAAGCCGTTTTTCAACCTAATATGTAAGAAGTCTTGTGTCTTCAAATGCCTTAGCATTTCATGTGTCTTTTCTAGCACCTCTCTTACTCTTTCCTATAGTCACAGATGTATGGGAACTGACCCCAGTCTTCCTATTAGACCATGTAGTCCAAAGACTTTATCTTGCTCCTTTTTGCATCTCACATGTATCTGTTACTCATTCATTCAGTTGTCCTTTCATTCACTACATTGTTTCTGAAATTGGGGATGTAATCATGATCACTGTATTCTGTAAACATTTTTGGAATTTAAAAAATCTTGATGATTTTCATTTACATGTGGAAGTGAATGTTGCTAAGTCACTGATCCTCAGTGGAATTGCAAAATGTGAGTGCTGAGCAGTTTCTCAGGGATGTTCTTTTAGGTTATCAAATCATGTGATTCTTTGGTAATTAAAATGATTGTATATCTACTCAGTAAAACAACTGGAGACAGTTCCACTTAGTTCATGCAATTTAATGAAATTTCTTTTGAAAAATCTGTATTGTAATATTTTTCTTTTAAAAACCTTTATTTTTATGGTAATTATGTTTTCAGCAGTGACTACTCAGACAGTTAGAAAAATTGCATACTCTAATGCTACCTCTTTCTTTAGAAACTAACTGATATAAAACAGTGGCACCTTATTGTTGGCCCTGTCAAATTATGTGTTCTTCTTATTTATATATATATGAATCCTCTGCTCTAACCATGAATATTTTCCCACTTTTTCTCATCTATTTTGTCTCCAGTTGTTTAACATTTATCAGAACTGTCATGATACTAGTCCCTTAGATTTGTATAACTGTTTAAAGTTTTAAGGGGCTTCCCTGGTGCCTCAGACAGTAAAGAATCTTTATGCAATGCAGGAGACCCAGGTTCGATCCCGGGGTCGAGAAGGGATCCCTTCGCCCCGGGAGAAGGGAATGGCAACCCACTCCATTATTCCTGCCTTAAGAATTCCATGAACAGAGGAGCCTGGTGGCCTACAGTCCGTGGGGTTGCAGAGTCGAACACAACTAAGCGACTAACACTTTGACACTTAAAGTTTTGAAAGAAAACAAAACAGCCTTGTTTGAGCACTGAAATAATCTGACAGGCTGAATGATGTATTCTCAGGTTTTATTTTTTAACTTTCAGAGATTTGAAAATTGAAGTATAGAGAGAGGAAGTCAGCAGCTTTCAAGATGAGGACAAATGTTTCTAAGAGACAGAAACCATTTAAGACAATGTTTGTAAATAACAAGATTTATTATAAGGATACAGGGCCTGGCTTCATTTCTGCTTCTCTCTTTTTCTCTCTCTTTCCTAACGGGATCTCTCTATGCACTCAGTGATAGAGTATGGCCACCTTATCCTTTCCAATTGACAGTCACAGTTCTAGCCACATGCAGAGATTAAATAGTTGCTTCTAAGTTCCAGATTCCTAGGGGAGCATATGATTGAGCCTGCTTGGCTCAGGCATCAAATTATCCTGGGCCAAGTTGGCTAGTTTAGCCAATACACACTGTTCCATGAATGAAATAGAATTACTATAAGAGGGGAGATGCATCTTGGATTTGACAGTCTTAGAATTTCTGCTTTTTAAAATTTGGTGGAGCTGGTGCTTAGAACCTCAGTTAGAAGTCACAAACTCATAGCATCCTAAGGACAGTTAAACAACATAAATGAATAAAACTGACAGATGGAGGCTGCAGGACCCAGATGGAGCACAGGCTCCATTGAAAGGGAGCTGCGACTACTCAGTTTCAAATGACTGATGCTCCATGGGAGTCTGGGCCCAGATAACCAGTCTTCTAATTTTCAAGTAAACTCAGAAATTGGGATTTTATATAAAGTTCCTGTTTAAATTTTTTAAATCCCAAATCA